ACTTGTAAGTGCTCAGATAAAATAGGGGAATCTTGAGGTTTGCAGGAGAGATTTAGTAATATAAGGTTGTGTGATGACAGAGACTATTTGTTTAACAATGTATTGCTTATATGAATTCTGATGCCTGCTTGTATCTCAGTACTCTAGGCATCCAACATTTGGCCTACATCCAGCAGTACTGGAAAGTCTTTGTTTTAATTAGCACTGCCAAGAATCCTTATAGTGTGCACAAGACTATGCCGTCATTATGTTAATATGGTCATGTTAGAAAATACGTGTATCCATGGGGGGAGAAAATACTAAGGTAATAACTAAATTGTTATTATTTGTATTATCGTAGTGCCTAGAAGCTCCAGTCATGCACCAGCGCCCCATTATATGAGGCGCTGTACAAACACCGAATGAAAAGACAGTCCCTGTCTGATTAGGGAATAGCCATTTCACTCTTTGAGAACTGTCCATGGAATCATCACTATGGATAGGATCCCGTGCTGGTGAAACTACTGCACTGGTTCCATATATATTGTACTAGATTTCAATAAAATATGAATGGAAGTCTTCATGAGTCAGGAAATGTGCAGACTCCGTTTTTGTTGCTGCAAACAAGTATCTGTAGAATATTTGGGACTCAGAAACAGAGAAGTGAATTAAATCCTATATGCATTGTACTGAGACGTTTGCCAGCTTGCTTGCAGTGTATTCTTCTAAGGTCTAACATAGCCTAGAATATATACAGAACTCAGATTATAATATCTATCCAAAAGAAATTTGGCATTTGTATTTATGGACTGGAGGGGTAATAACACTAGATCCAGGTTCTATCTAGACTGTTCCACACATCTTTTTATCTGAATCCCGCTGTTAAATTCTCATGCTGTCCCAGCTGCAGGTCTCCCTATGGTCTGGTCTAAAAGCAGGCCTTGTCTACACTACAAAAGTTTCGCTCACATAGCTAGAGCGGCAGACTTTTCCAGTATAGATGCAATTTGCACTGGCATAAAAGTGCCTTTTCTTGGTATAGCTTACACCAGTTCCCCAAGAAACATAAACTATACCGGCAAAAACACTTTTAAGCCAGCAGAAGTGCATCTACACTAGGCCTTATACTTGCATAGCTATATCGCTAAGGTGTGGTGTGTCTTTTGTTTTTGGGGATTTTTAACTGACATAATTATGATGGAATAAGCCTTAAATTTAGACTAGGCCTGTTTGCACCAATTTAACTAAAGGCGTGATATAAACTGATTTAATTAAACTGTTAGAGCTTTGTACATGGCCACTCTTACATCTGTTTAGATCACAGGTTCTTAACCTTTTTTTGAATCACACCCCCAATATTTTTTCTACACCCTTTTACAACACGGGACTTTTCAATGTAATCTAGATGGAACTGGGACCATTAATAGTCTGATTCCAATAAGGACTGGTTTAAATAAACATGATAATAGAAAACTTGGGAAGGTAATGGGTTTTTTGGGTGGGGAAGCAGGTGCAAACAAAGTCCTAAAAGTGCAGAAACAAAAATAATAATTTCTTTTTTTGAGGAGTATGGGAAGGAGACATAAGGACAAGATATGGGTTGCTATCACTTTTTAAAATGTTTACTTTTTGCTACAATAAAAATATACTAGCTATTCCCATCTGCTAATGCAGGGTATTCAAATGAATTGATGACCTTTGCGCTCAATCTGAAGAGACAAATGAGTGAAGCAGACTTTAGGGGAGATTAAGCCTCTTAAAATTTCTTCTAACTGAGAAGAAAGGTAGAGGAACTCTAAAGAATGTTTTATTGTTCATAAGATGAAAAATATAAGAACTAAAAAGAATTTTAAAAGTTGATTGCTAGCGATTGCCTGCACAAATTCTGTGATAAAATATTAACTCATTGCACTGTACTGCCTCTTACTGCAAACAGAATAGTTAGTTATTGTGATCTGCTTGTTAAGTAAACATTGTAAAAAAAAAAAAAAAAAAAAACCAACCCCAAACAAAAAAACCCCCTCCCTGGTTATCTAGAAAATGCCTTGTTCAGGATGTTTGTTAAAGGAACACTGTTGGGTTAAAAATCATAATCCTTACCTATTAAAACAGATTAAAATACACCAAATCCATTAATGCAGTTTATTTCGTGCCCTACATTGTTCATTTGAACAATGGACACAGACTAAGTCAGTTTCACTTTTGTTTCTGGTTTTACATGGAATTTCATACACTAGTATAGTGCTGCAATGTGTAGGTTTCCCTGCTGAGGCACTAAGGTGCATTTTTTCTAAAATGCCCTGATAAAATTATTCGGGTATGTTGGTAGGCTTGGATACACCAAATAAGTTGATTTGTTTTGTAGAAAAAAGCTGCTGCGTGGAGACCACTCAGTCCTGCTTGTCTTCACTTTCAAGGCTCTTCATGGCCAATTCCTGCCCTACCTATCATCTCTCACTTGCTATTGAGCGGTTGATACTTGCCTCTGATTGGCCAGTCATGCCAGTCTCCATTGCCCCCTTATTAAATTTTCAGATAAGCACCTTTGTTCTTTCTCCTGTGCTGCCCCTCACACTTGGGAGAAGCTTCCCATAAACATCCACAAAACTACCTCGATATCTACCTTCAAGATACTCCTTTGCCTTGATGCCTACAAAGAATGTGATAACAGCGAGGGTGCTGGTGTGCAGAGGCCACTGCCTATCATGCTGACCAATATTGTCTCATTGTTTCCTTGTACTCCCCTTTCTATCTGTATCCATCTGTTGTTTCTTGTCTTATACTTAGAGTGTAAACTCCTTGGAACAGGGACAATCGTTTTGTTTTATGTTTATACAGCACCTAGCACAATGGGTCCCTGATAGCAAATAACAACAACAACAATAATAGTTTTAACCAGATCAGTTGAGTGATACAGACTGGCTACTAAAAATATAACGGCGCATCACTGTAGTGACACAGTAATTAGTTTCAGGGATAAATCTTCAGTTTTAATAGAATTTAAAGATCAGAGTTAATGGTTTTTTTTATTTTAAATCAGTAACAGTCTCAGTAGAATATCATGACATTTCATTTTTAATTTTTGGTAAAATATTCGTCTTTAGAAAGATGCCAAATTCTTGATTGTATCAAAAAATCTCATTTATTCACAGCTTTATTTCTGTGTCAAGTTAAATATTTTGCTTGTTCTAGTTTGATTGCCTAATTTTGTAACATACAAGTGTACTAGAAACTATTATGCTTGTAAACATTCCTTTTTGTATCATGTGGCAGTCAGGAAATCTTAGTAATACATTGTGAAAATATGTAGTTACGATCTGAAAGCTTTTGCTGTAATAAAATGTTCACTCTGTAAGTGGAACAGAGTTGAACTTCCAGGGTTAAAAAGAATATCTGAGTCCCATGTAAACCAATTCTGGCTCAATGTCAACATCTCTGCCATCCCAGTTTTCCTCGGAAAACGTTGAATGCTGCCAATGTATGTTGCAAGAGATATGACCAATGTGACTTACAAAGTAAGAGGCAAAACTATAAAATGTTGTTGCCTGTGTAATACTGTTGTAGGAATCTGAGATGGAAAAAACGTTTTCAGTCATCTTCTACCTCTCTGCCAATTCAGCAAAATTTAGTAAGCTTCAGAGCATGCTGCATGGCTTTTTTAATAAACGTTGTTTTGTATTTTTTTGATTTGTTTGAATGTTACGAGTTAGTTGAGTGTGAAGGGTGTGTTCCTGAACCATGTTTCTTTGATACTGTACAGTGGCTAGCTACTTTTCTCATAGGTGTAGAGATGAGCCTGTGCTTAAGTTCCTCCGCTGGCTCCCAGTCAATTTTCGATGCCATTTGAAGGCCTTGCTCCTAATTTTCAAAGCCCTGGATTTTTATCTATGAAACACCATGACAGCTGTGCTTCTCTGGGTCAATGCAAATTGCAAAGCCCAGGACTAAGCATGTAAGAACTGGTTTCAGAGGAACAGCCGTGTTAGTCTGTATTCGCAAAAAGAAAGGAATACTTGTGGCACCTTAGAGACTAACCAATTTATTTGAGCATGAGCTTTCGTGAGCTACAGCTCACTTCATCAGATGTCAAATAAATTGGTTAGTCTCTAAGGTGCCACAAGTATTCCTTTCTTTTCATGTAAGAACTGGAGACAAAGCATTATCTGTTATGGAGATCTGGCTGCGGAACAATTTTGGGAGGTGATCAGACAAATCCAGAGTCTGGCCATCTTTAGGAAACATTGCAAAAACTTTCTTCTTGAAGAAAGCCTTTACACCAAAGACTTTAAGTCCAAAAGAGTGATAATTTAGTCTGACCTCCTGCACAATGCAGACCACAGAAGCTCACCCACGCTTTCCTGTAATAGACCCACAACCTCTGTCTGAGTTACTGAATCCTCAAATCATGATTTAAAGACTTCAAGTTACGGAGAATCTGCCATTTATTCTTGTTAAACCAGCAAGTGACCCGAGTCCAGTGCTGTGGAGGAAGTGACACTCACAAGTTGAACACCCTTTTTATTCCCAACCGCCTTTCAATCAGCAACCCCTCTTGCCTCCCTTCTCTCCCAAAAAAACTCCCTTTATGGGGTGAAAACTCTGCTTGGGGTAGAAGTGCCAGAGACACCATGAAGTACACCAGGCACTTTGCTGTTGCTATTGATTTTACATGGACGGAGCTCAGATGCTACAGTGAGGGCAGCAGTGTAAAACTCTAAGATAGATGCCATTTATTATTTCCAGTAGCTTTGTTCTGTTTAATTTAAAGCAATTAAATAATGTAACTTCCAATACTTTCCTGGAGACTGTTAGTGAACCTTCCAGATATCCAGCCTAAAATTTGTTTCCCTCTCTTTTGTATCATTAAATCAAGACAACTGGCCACTGACAGAAGTAGGATAATCGAGAAGATCCTGTATGGCATTTCTTATCCACCCCTAGTTGCACTTCTTAGGACCACCTTAAACAATTTCTCTCCGTTCCTCCTCTTTCCTTAAAAACAATGTGGTCAACTTTTTTAGGTTGCTGGCTGACTAAGAAAATGAAACTTTCTGATGGCCTAGATTTTGGCGGGGAGTCTGGAAGCAAGTGGATGACTTTACCTCACAGAGATCTTCAGGTATAACATACTAGGGGGATCAAAGGGGCTTTTTGAATATATAGTCATTAGAACCTGAGGACCCTGGTTACAGCTGTAACAGAGTTGTGCCGCTTTTTTTAATGAAAATTTGCTTTGTCTGTCCCCTGATCCTTTGCTTGCCAACTCTATAGTAGTTCTTACTGTGCCTTTTTTTTTCCCCCGTAGTGAACTAAATACACCTTCATTATTTTATGGTGGAATCCTAGAAACTACAGTTAAAAAAACCTGTTCGGTCATCTAATCTAATCCCATGCCAGTAGAAAATTGTTACATTCAGCATATATTTTTAATGTTTTAATGTCTGGACGACTACTGAAAGTTCTGAGCAATGTGGCTTCCACCATTGGCTGCTGTATATTTATGGTTAACCTCTGTTTCTCTCTGTTTATCTGATACGGAGTGTTTGACATACTAGGATGCTCTGCTGTCTAGTAGCTGCTTTACAGAAGGCCACACACTAAAACTTATGTAGTACTGATGTGTGTAGTACTGGGATACAGTTGAAGAGTTGATATGATCACAGTTCTAATATTATGGTTTGTGATTCTCATGAAACCATGTTCCAATAAACTTGGACTAGTTATGTCATATCAAATTGACTATATTTCTGTGTGGGAATAACTTTTTGCCCTCCTTTTTTGAAAAAAATATTTGTCCTAAGTTTTAGGAGAAATTCATCTCGCTATGTATGCTGCTACTTGTATCTTTGCCTGTCACACTTAAGGACCAGTGGATTATTTTATGACAAGTAAAAAAGAAAGATGTAGCTGTGAAGGCAGGAAACACTTGTCATTCAGACTCCATATCTTTGTTTCTGCTTCCTGTCAGTTAAACCACTAGCAGAGGAACAGATGTACTAAGAGATGACTCTACTCTAGTTTCCGTCACGGACAGCAATTGTGTAACAAGCAGCCTCCTGAAGCAAATTTTATTAAATATATTTGGTTTCCATTTATCAGTCTGTCCTTATATTTTTAGACTTCTAAGATTAAAGATCAGAATTTGGCCAGTAATTGGAGAGAGAGGAACGATTGCAGAATAACTGTAAAACAGTAATTTCAGGAGTTGTCAGTAAAGTAATAACAGAACTAAAGTATGATATTTACTTGCTCTACTGTATTAACACAGTAGTTCTTTTAAATCTAGACAGAAACTTGTGATGAGTTAGCAAGTAAGCTGTTCCTAGAGGATACTAAAAAATATGCAAAGGGCTATTTCCATTTGAGGGTAACTTGAAATCTCAGGATCTGTGAATTCTCGTCGATGTTAAAGAATTGCAGTGTTGCCAAATCTTGTGATTTTCATCTCCAGGTCCAGTGATATTTGATGAGGTGTTTTCTTAAAGCCCAGCTCTTGTGTTCAGTTGCTTCTATGCTTCAATTTAAAAAAAAAAGCTCTCATGGTAGTGGAGAAAAGTTGGAAAATCATAACATAAATACATCCTAAAGGCTCAAAAACCAGCAGACAAATAAAAAGCACCTAAAACTTACTATTTTTAATAAGACTCATTATTTTTAAGCAAATCTCATATTTTGAGGGCCTGATTTATGATTTTTGAACACTGCAGTTGGCTGGAATTGTTAATTTACATATATTATTATTGCATGGTTTATCAAAATTGTAGCTTGGATATTGAGTATGATCTCCACTTCTCTATGTATTAACTATGCATTAATAAAACAAGTTATTCTGTCTTTAATTGGAGTAGTCCCTTATGCAAATTTACTTAAATTATTTGTGTGGTAGGATTTCATGCTGGAAGGGGTACTTCCAATAATTTTTTTTAAGTGATGTTCATTTGGAGCTATTTTATTCAAGACACTGTTTCATCCTGTCTGGATATGTGAATTGTGGTTTAAGATGCTGTAAAATAGTCTGAAATTTCTTGAGGACAACCTCTCATGCTGAATAAAAGATAATTATTAGCAGGTTCAAACTGGGGAAACTATGGATTCTACATCCTCCTAGTCATTCGAAACTATTTGGATGAACCTGGATTAGCACACCTGAAGGAGAGTTCTGTGTAAAGTTGATTGTTGTCTCTCACCAGGAAAGCTGTCCTGTAAAAGATATTACTTCACCTACCGTCTCTAATATTCTAGGACCAACACTGCTACAACAACACTGCATACATGGATTAATCTGTCAGTTGATTTTGCTACTCCCCCCCGCCCCAGTGCAGACAGTGTGAATCCCCTAAAGATCTTTTAGCAGTTCAGAATTGGCTAATCAACTATGTTAGATGTTCCTTTTGCTTGGGTGATCAACAGGTTATCTGTACCATCCATAAACTCTTATCAGAAAAAGTGATAAAGCCTTTGCCTCTACTCCCACCCACTTCACCCCAGAAAATTAATTTCAAACTTATATTGTGGCTGTGATTTTATTAAACCACAATCTGTTGGAAACTGATGCTTTGAATATTCAGATCAAATCTTAAGTCTAAAAGAGATGGAAAAGTGATGTATGTTTGTTTGAATTAGATTAGAATTAAAAATATCCTCCCAGTTTTTTTTACAATTTGGACTGGGAAAAATGTTAAGATTGCAATTCACCTTCCAGTTTAAACTCCAGTTTTCACTTGTCATCCCATTCTGACTGTGTGTGAGCTGACTCTCTTGCTGAGAGAAGCATGGGTGTGATAGATCTAGTGGGACTGTTGACCTAGACACAGTACTAATTTAATCTCTGCTTTTTGATGTAGTTTAAAGGCTCGCCCAACCATGGAGGAGAGAGACTAGTAGTAGCCCTCTGGTGTTTCTCCCTGCCTCCCAATCTCTTGAGGACTCAGTGTTCACGACCACAACCCAGACAGGCAGAACTTGCCTCTCTCAATACAATAGCTTCTATGTTTAAGGTTGTGTATGAATTTTTGTGAGCACATAATCCTAACTTAACTAAGTGTGATCAGCTCCATTGAAGATTGTGGAAAAATAATACCTGAATGGGCCGAATTGGCATGGGAAAACCCCTAGTTAGAAAATTCCTTCTTGAAGTAGGAAGTAGCTAAAGCGATTCTCATGTGTTCCAAACTCATCCTTATCTGGGCTTTATAATGTATCTGTCACTAAGGGCTTCTCTGTTTAGAGGTATGGGTGAGTTTATGCTTGATGGCTGCATTCTAAGGACTAACTCTTGGCCCATGATTGTATTGTTGTTGTTTGTATTCCCATACCGCTAAGGCATGGGGAAAAAGCGATGCTTTTGTGACTATGGGGCAATGGGGATTTCATCTAAATGAGTTGTACTTGCAGAGATTGCTAATGCCTGAGAGCCAGGTGTGACAGGTTCAGTCACAGAGACCCCCTTGGGACGGTCACCTGACGTGCTGGAATTACCTCTAAGCCCGTTTTCCCTGCCAGCTTGGGACTCCAGAACCCTGCCTTGTTGAGCGAGACACGCTAGCCTGCTGCGACACCAACCCAGGTCTGGTCCACGCACCCAAAGCTGCAGACTTTAACCAAAAACTGCTCAGCAGATCACCTATCTCTAGCATCCAGACACCCAGTTCCCAATGGGATCCAAACCCCAAATAAATCCATTTTACTCTGTCTAAAGCTTATACAGGGTAAACTCATAAATTGTCCGCCCTCTATAACACTGATAGAGATATATGCACAGCTGTTTGCTCCCCCAGGTATTAATCACTTACTCTGGGTTTACTAATAAACAACACTGATTTTATTAGGGATAAAAAGTAGGATTTAAGTTGTTTCAAGTAATAACAGACAGAACAAAGTAAGTTACCAAGCAAACTAAAGCAAAAATACACAAGTCTAAGCCTAGTACATTAAGAAACTGATACAGGTAATATCTCACCCTCAGAGATGTTCCAATAAGCTTCTTTCACAGACTCCTTCCTAGTCTGGGCCCAATCCTTTCCCCGGTACAGTCCTTGTTAGTTCCAGCTCAGGTGGTAAGGAGGGGTTTTCTGGCAGCCCCCTTTGTTCTCTTCCAGCTTTGGCACAAGGGGGAATCTTTTGTCTCTCTGGATGCCCACCCATCCTTCTAAATGGAAAAGCACCAGGTTTAAGATAGGTTTCAGAGGAACAGCCGTGTTAGTCTGTATTCGCAAAAAGAAAAGGAGTACTTGTGGCACCTTAGAGACTAACCAATTTATTTGAGCATGAGCTTTCGTGAGCTACAGCTCACTTCATCGGATGCATACCGTGGAAACTGCAGCAGACTTTATATACACACAGAGAATATGAAACAATACCTCCTCCCACCCCACTGTCCTACTGGTAATAGCTTATCTAAAGTGATCATCAAGTTGACCCCCCCCCCCCCCCCCCCCCCATACACACACAGACTCACTCTCCTGCTGGTAATAGCTCATCCAAACTGACCACTCTCCAAGTTTAAATCCAAGTTAAACCAGAACATCTGGGGGGGGGGGGGTAGGAAAAAACAAGGGGAAATAGGCTACCTTGCATAATGACTTAGCCACTCCCAGTCTCTATTTAAGCCTAAATTAATAGTATCCAATTTGCAAATGAATTCCAATTCAGCAGTTTCTCGCTGGAGTCTGGATTTGAAGTTTTTTTGTTTTAAGATAGCGACCTTCATGTCTGTGATTGCGTGACCAGAGATTGCCTACAGACAGCCCCGCAACCTGAAGCAAATACTTACCAACAACCACATACCACACAACAGAACCACTAACCCAGGAACTTATCCTTGCAACAAAGCCCGTTGCCAACTGTGCCCACATATCTATTCAGGGGACACCATCACAGGGCCTAATAACATCAGCCACACTATCAGAGGCTCGTTCACCTGCACATCCACCAATGTGATATATGCCATCATGTGCCAGCAATGCCCCTCTGCCATTTACATTGGTCAAACTGGACAGTCTCTATGTAAAAGAATAAATGGACACAAATCAGATGTCAAGAATTATAACATTCATACACCAGTCGGAGAACACTTCAATCTCTCTGGTCACGCAGGACAGTGGGGTAGGAGGAGGTATT